AAATTTATAATTTAATAAACTTTTAAAAAAATTTAAAAATTTTCCTTTCCCCCCCCCCCCCATTGAACAGAATTAGTAATTATATAATCTGCAGCTATGATCCCAGATGATGGCCTAAAACTCTGCACCCTCGTGCAACAAAGCCAAAAATAGCACAACGCACTTCAGTTTATACTTAAAAAGATGGAGGAGCGAGCTTAAAAGCTTCTTTGGCCGGTGGAAACTGGCAACCAAAGGCATTAACAAACTGTCCAAGAGGATGTTGTCTCCAGCAATAACTGCACCTGCATTAGCTAAATGAACAGCAGCATCAGGCTGTTTCATGGCAGACACTAATTCTGCATCAAGCCTGTACTGATTGTTTAGATAATGTGAGAGGAGAGTCTATAACTGTATTGATTGTCACAGTACTTAACTGTGCCTTGGCCATTGAAATTGCCCTTTTAACATGCACGTTGTTTCTGATGACATCAATAAATGCAACTTATAAATACACTGTAGGCATATTTGATGATCTACTCTACTAATGTCAATTGTGTAGATGGAGCTAAAAGGCTAAAGGTCATGTTTTATTGAAGACGGGTAACATCCAACTCATCTCCATTAGGAGGAAAATGTATTACATTATTATTACAGCTCAAATGAAAAAAATAGGTTGCCGTTTTATCAGCATGCTGTGGAAACAACACTGCTGCTTAATCTACAGCAGTGTTGTGCAACAGAGATGCAATAGTTCTGCTGTAAGGACAACAAGATCCACTGGCTGACCTGGATCCACATAGTAAGTCATTTAAACTGCTCTGTACAGTCATCCTCTTAACTTCAACCACAGCACAGCAAACACTTCCCACACAACAAAGTTGAACTAAATTTACACTCCTGTGACTTTAAGAGCAACCGGAAGGTTCGTCAGATGTTTTTGGGTTTACGATCCCAGGCTGTGGCCAGTGACCAGTTCCAAGGTTTAGAAACATTAGCCTTTCAAAAAAACCCTGAAGGTTTCTGTCATTTCCAAAAGGACTGAAGTCCTTTTTATGAGCTGCCAGGAGAGAAGCCAGAGTGACCCGAGCTTTTTCTGGCTCTATGGAGCAAAGTGCAACAAGGCTTGCTCCGTCCCCCACCTATTGCTATCCACAGATCGTTTTCTCTCACATTTAGCCATCTTGAAACATTTCTAGTTGTGAAAAATAACAGTGGCAGAGTGAAAAGCGGTGCAAGCAGTCAGTTTTTTAAA